AGACCCCTCAACATCACATCAGCTGAGGCTTTCATCTAGGACACAGGGAACTTCCTGGAGAGGCTTCCTAAGCCACCTCCTTCAGAGCTCGTGATTTAATGGCTCTCAGGTGAGGCGGGGCCATTGGCATTTCTAAATGTCCTCATCTCCTGCAGCTCACATCATCGTAGGCAATTCCAAACTTCTATAAAGAGATGAATATTCATAAACCACCTGCTGAGCCTGCCAATCAGGGGAGAGGTAAATTCTAGAATGGAAGGAGAATAGTTCTTTGACCTGAGAAAGGGTGTAGGGATGCCAGGAAGTACCTGAGGAAGAGGAAGCAAAACCTTTGCCCTCAGGACAGGCAGAAGGAAGCTGATGGCATGGCATCTGCGTCACTGCAGGACCTCTACAGGTTCAGCTGGTTAGAGAGATGATAGGCTTTGGACTGGCCCTCAAAATAGGCAACTCTTCAGCCTTGATCCAGCCCAGGCTTATGTGAATCTGAGAAAGCCTCCTAAATTCAGTATAGCAGAATTATTTTCTGCAGAGGGAAAGCTTTTTTTTTTTTTTTTCCCTGAGTGTATATGCATTAATTGAAGCCCTGCCCCACCCGGCAACCCCACCACCTATCTTGAGGTTCTGTCTTTCAACATTTCTCAGGAACTTGCTGCTTTACTTGATAGAGAAGCATCCTGCATGTACAAGGTGCTGAGTCTCTGATTCCCAGGCCTCCAACTGCACCAGGGGAGCTCTTACCAGCCATGTGCCTCTCCTGGGCCTAACTGTGCTATATCAATAGGTCACTACTTCCCTCAACACAGACAGTATTCTTATCAACTTCTGCAGAACCGTCTGTTCTCTTTTACACTATAACTTCTGAATCATAAGATGTACTCTACCTCCAAGTGAACGTAAGATATGTTCTATTATATATGATATCCACGTCATAGAATACATTCATATGGACATATTCTGCAATTCCAACAGTTATATTATACCCAGTCGTTTGAAGATCATACATACTAAAGTCACTACCTACACTTTGATATGGGAAGGAATCCCTTGATTATCTTTTTTGTTTGTTTGTTTTGTTTTCTCATGGGCAGTCAACAGAGACCTGAGCTTCCATCTATCACTGGGGGACCATCTTTCCCCAAATCAGTTATGGTTGAGCCCCAAAAGCACAGGCCTAAAACAAATGCTTGCTTCCAATTTTCCCTCTTTCTCTCTAAAACCAAATCTTGATTGGCTTCTTGAACTCTGGCCTCCACTACAAGGCACCTGTCTGGTTTGTAGAAAGCAAGAAGCTTGGTTCAGATGGACCTCCCAAGGAACTGCTGTCATTTTATTGATTCTACCCTAATAAAGAGCAGTTGGTACTAAAGCCCTTGGAAGGGCACAGGGCTCATCGTAGCCATCTTTCCAGGTCCAGGCGCTGTCACTTTCAAATTAAGAAATGCAAAAGAGGCTGCATGAGTACAAATTGGAGTGGATCCACTGTACAGTACCTAAGATACATTTGTTTCAGGTAGGTTTCTCAAGCAATCACGACAGAAGAGGGCGACAGTGGCCTCCCCCAAACTTACACTGCCAACATTTCTATTTACCAGGGCAATCAAAACGTAGCAGGTATCTGTCAACCAGGATAGTCTTTCCTGGGCAAGCAAGCAACCGAGGTCATGGATGCTCATTTACAACCTTGAACCTGTTGTCAGCCTGGCTGCTGCTCAGGGCCAACTCCTGCTCCAGGCAGCAACACAGAGCAGACTTCTAACAGCCTGCACCAGGATCTGCAGCCCCTGGTCTACGGCAGCCCCCGTCTACGGCAGCCTGGAGGCTTCGTCAGCCCACTCTTATATTGGGGCAGAGTGTCAGAAAGGTGTCCAACTCATTTACAGTCCTTGAGTCCCTTTCAACAACTCATGTGCTCTCTTTGGCCAACTAGTCTGAAGTACTCTGCAGCATTTCTTTCCCTTAAACAGATGCACCTTGGATTTTAGATATCCAAAAAGTTCTCTCTTTTTTTACTTAACTCTTGTAATTTGGGGTTTTACTTCAAAGTAAAGTATTTTGCACATGTACTATCACATTAGAAATTCCAAACATGCTAAGTAGAAACTATAATTAAAAAATAGAAATCAATGCTAGGACCTGGGGTAGTGGCTTAGTGGTCAAACACTTGCCTAGCATGTGAGAGGCACGGGGTTTGATCCTCAGAAACACATAAAAATAAATAAAGTATACAATTTGATATTTAAAAAACAATCAATGCTAGTTTCCTAACCCACAAAGTAAAAGCTAAATACCTACCTACCTGATAGGGCTGATTGAATAGCATAATGAATGCAGAGCATCTGACCCAGTACCTGCCACATAGTAGGTGCTCAATGAGAGATCTGATTTGACTTAGACATGTACATTATTAATTCAAATCCAAAGCAGCACTATTGACATTTCCATGATAAGAACGTTTAATTTATAGTTTAAGACCTATTTGATTGCAAATTGGATGGAAGTCAAGTTACAGTACCAAATAAATTATGTTTCAACTATTTTAAAACTGTGCATACAAAGAGACACTAGAAAGAGGAAAGAAAGTCCAATTACAGGATGCAGATGTGTTAACTGCTGAAAGTGAGCTCTTGATTTAGTTTAATGTTGTCTGATGGTCAAAGAAACAAAATCCTGTTAACTTATGCAACTCACTCCTCATTTAATAAATGGAATGTGTAACTCACAGGGAAAATGGATTTTCCTCCTGATGTTCAGAGCTGAGGGCAGTGGCTCATGTGGGTCCTGACACCAGGCACGCTGGGTAACTGAGAAGAGCTACATGTCTGTGTGCCCAGGTGCAAAGGTACACACCCATTCATCAGAAGGGATGCTCTGCTCTATGGGTATTGTAGGTGAGGAACCAGTGGGCAAGTTGGCTGAAGTCTTTCTTAACCTATGTTCAGAAAACTGGAGTAAAATTTCTCCACTTTATTCCAAAATATGGACCAGTTTTGTATTTGAGAAGTTTGGCCCTTGGTTTTTTGGAAGTATAGGTCTTGACTTTTTCAAGCAGTCCACTTGGGCTTGCCTGCTGTCCTGAGCCAGGATGACCAGAGTGGCCTGTGGATGGGGAGGATGTGGAGGAATCTGCTTCCAAACACTTGAGACTAATCAGAGACAACAGGCTTCCCTGGGAAAATCGTAATCACCATACTGGGGAAGGGCCAAATGCTGGCAGGATTTATTGGCTTTGATTAACAATACGGTGTTTGTTTTTGTAGGTAATTAGAGTTCAATAGCAAGCTATAAAAGTCCTCTAAGAAATTCTAAATGGACTATAGCTAAAGGGTACTAAATTATAACTGAATCTAACCATTCATCTATGCAGACCTCCTGTACTAATGAGCCAGTGTTTGATACAGCACAATCCCAGGCTGTCAAGGAGAAAATGGCCTCTGTGTTCCCAAAGTCCTGGGAGAAAAGACCTCCATGCAGTGTGAGTGCCCACACACGTGTGCAAACAGCACTCCAGTATGGATCATGCTTCAGCATCCCAGCTGCCTTGGGATGTTACAGCTCATGAAGCAACAGCTCACATTGTCTGATTTAAAGCCACTATTCAAAGATCCATCACAAGCTGGATGATGACAAATGTTCCGACAGCTCTAAATTCTTATAACAATCAGGGAACAGACTCCTAGGTACTGTGATGGGCTAGCTGGGTATTTTGATAGTCAGAAGATGCTTGCCAAAGCTGTTTTGATTCATGCTCTTTTTTCCCCCAGTATGTCACTGTTGGGCACAGATTTTTAACAGGTTAGAGGTCTTAATATAAATGCAATTGTACTTAATTCAAAAGTAGGATAGGAAAAGTGTTGTCAGCCATATTTTTTAAATAGTATCAAGATGTAGTGATGGTGTACTTAAGAGACAACTGTGCTCATCTTGCTTTGCTGAATCCTGGGACATAACATGTTCCTGTGTTATGCATATCATATCTACACAGCATTATTTTTACTCTCTGTGCCCACACCATGACGCCCAACCATCCAGAAAAGCCAACTATCCAACCCCTGCACAGAAGTGGGAAAAATTAAAATGGGACCAGATAAACAAAACAAAAAGTAAAGCCATAGATATAGCTGGCACTGGAGGTAAACGGTTGCTTTTATTCTCCGTCTTAGACATTAGCTTTCCTCTTGGCAAAAGCTAGACTTAACAGCTAAGGCCTCAGGCATCTTCTTGTGTAGTTCATTAGAAACCTTTATAATATTTTTCCCTCAGGAATTAGATTTTCATTTAATTATGTTTTATACAACCCAATATAAAATTTTCCCACTGTTCTGCATACTCTGGCCCCCTTAATTTTATTTTTTAAAAGTTCTTATGCAGTCATCGGTTTTTCTTTCAGAGGAACATAAAACAGACATCCACTCCAGGACCAAAGCTAAACTTGCAGGCCACAGTGGTAGAGTCTTCTGGCTTTCTGCCCTCTGAAACTTCATGCAGGTGACTGCAACCTCAGACCAGCCGCTTAACCCCTCTGACCCTTTCCTTCTTCCTCCGAAAAGAGGAGGAGATTGACTCAGATTCTCCTTAAGGCATCTCTGTGGTCTGAGGTTCTAGAGTTATTTTATCCTAAAGGGAAGAACTTCCAAATGTGAAGGCAGTTGCTGTTAATTCTTTAAAATTAAGACTCTAAACTCTACATTCAAAAAGTTAGATTTTGTGAAACTGGTGGAAATAAAATATAAGCTAAGTGCCCTTTTTTTAAAATATTTTTTTTAGTTGTCAATGGAGCTTATTTTACTTATTTATATATGGTGCTGAGAATCAAACCCAGTGCTTCACACATGCTAGGCAAGTGCCCTACTACTGAGCCACAACCCCAGCCCTGGCCTAAGCCCTTTGATGCAGAAGCAGCAAAAGCACAGAGCAGCACCGTTATAAAATTTCCATAATTCAAGTTAAAAAATTGTGTTCAGAAAGGAATTTAAAGAAAGCAGATTTCTGATACTTACTTGTGGCCCAGCTCATGAGCGATGGTAAAGGCCAAATTGAGACCATTGTCTTCGGCAAGCACACATTTCCTCTTAGCACTGCACACACCTCCTAAGTAAGCAATTCCTGCAGCAGAGACACAAAACACATCCTCTTCAGAACCTGGGAGGCCCTGACCTCCTGGGCATGTCTGCATGGTATCACGCATGATCTAGATCAAGAGAGGGGCAAGTAGGGCCTTTGCTGCCACAGGGTTGGACGTGCAAGTCCAAAGCTCATCTGGGATTAGTTTGCTTATGATACTTTTATATTTACCCAATAATAAGAGTGACAGTCACAAATATCTATCAAGCATTTACTATCTGACAAATGTTGGGTGAAATGGTTTATAAATATCATCAAATTTAATCCTCATTACTCAGGATGAAGAGGAAAAGTGAGGTTCAGAGAGAAAAGGTTCAGAGATTTCCCCAGGGTCTCCTGCCTTGGTACTCAGTGGTGAGATCCTAAACTAATCTGTGCAACTTGAGTGCTCAGGGCTGGGAGCAGCAAAGCAAGGTGTCCAGTGTGCAAAGATTAGGAAGCTCTTCCTTTTAAAGGCTGATCTCATATTTGAAGGCCCTGGAGGAGAAACTCCTTAAATTCTACACCCTCAGCACCTTTTGCATCATTCTAGTTCTGGTCTTGTGAGGGTCTGATGACCCCGGGGTTGATGAATAGCAGGCAAGGGAAGGCTGCGTAGCATGTTCAAACAAAAACTTCAGTAATTCTCCAGACACAGCAGGACTGGGAGTCATATGGAGCAGAGAGAGCACACACTGGGAGAGGGATGGCCTCAAAGCCATCTGTGAGGACAAGCCCCACAGACCAACTTCCTCACCTCCATGCACACCTGTGAGGACCTGAGGATCTTGCCCTAAGAGGGGAAAATGAATCACACACACCAGGAGGCACAAGCGCAGCACAGGACCACACTGTGAGCAAGAGGCGGTGTGGCGAGGCTAGGAGCTCTGGCAAGTGCTGGTGGGTCAGCCACGGGAGGAGGGATGGGAGCTTCCCAGCAGAGGAAAGCTCTTCTGGCAGAGGGATATGTTTGAACAACCTGGAGCCTTCTAAGGAATGCTGGGCACTCGGCGCAAGGCTGGGGAGGACCAGCCCCCACTGGCCACACTTGTGGAAGCTGGCTCTCCAGGTGCCCCACTGCCCATGACACCTCTCCGCACTTCTGCTCTCCCTGTACTCAGGACAGACAACCCCTACTACCCAGACACCCCAGGGCTGACCTCAGCAGGGGCCCTAGGAATCCTGCCATCTAGCCTCTGTTGCCTGTGGTGTCTGCCCCTCAGCAAGCTGCCTCTCAACAACTCCTGGGAGACATGCAAATCATCGTGGTACTGGTGGCTAGAGGAGGGGGGATGGTGCTGCTGTTCCCCTCCCATGAGGTCCCATGGGTGTGGGGCAAGTGCTGTGTGGCAACAGCTGGTAACAGGCAGGAGGCTAAACCCAGCTGACTCAGCCTGCCAGCACCATGCCACAGGACGGGCTGTGGTCACCTGAGGAAGGACACCTGTTCTCCATCAAGGCACTGTTCACCCACCAAGCTGCATGCTGCCCCCAACTGAGGGCTTCTTGCACTTCCACAAAGTGTTTCAGAGGAAAAGGAATTGGCAGAGGGCCAGGGACAACAGCCCAGGAGCCTATTTCATTAAAACTGACCCCTCCCTTCCTGTTCTTAAAGAGGTAAACCAAAACATCCTCTTTGTTGATATCAAAATCAAAGTAGTGTGAAGCCAACTCTTGGTGTTGCTTTGCTGCAACTGCTAGTTGCTACAGATGATCATTCTTATCTTCCTTCAGTGGAGCAACAGGGGGAGGATATCATCAGAGAGGTTTCCATTAAAAAGGTAAAAATAAAACTGGTCTAGCACTCAAACACAAGACTCCCCTTCCTTTGGTCCCTACCAGGAGGCACAGAGGAAACTCACATGGCTGCCTCTGCAGAGAGGTGCAATTCTGGGGCTATAATCTGGAGACTCTGCTTACATTCCACACGCTGAGCCTAGGTACCATATCACATATCTAATCATCATCATCATCATCATCATCATCTGTACTGGAGATTAAACCTAGGGGCACTTTTTCACTAAGCTGTATTCCCAACCCTGTTTATTTTTTGAGACAGATTCTTTCTTTTCTTTTCTTTTTTTTTTTTTGAGAAGAATAGTTCTCCTTCTTTGGTTTTTTAAAAATATTTGTTTTTTAGTTGTAGTTGGACATAGTACATTTATTTTATTAATTTTTTAATGTGGTGCTGAGGATTGAACCCAGGGCCTTGCTTGTGCTAGGTGAGAGCTCTACTACTGAGCCACAACCCCAGCCCTTGAGAAAGAGTTGTGCTAAGTTGCTAAAGCTGGCTTCAAGCTTATGATCCTCCTGCCTCAGCCTCCCAAATCTCTGGGATTACAGATGTGCACAATGGCACCCAGCTCTACACATCTCTTTTTTATTTGGAAACATGCAGCATGTTTGGCCAAGGTTGAGGAATAGAGAGAAAGAAATAAAAAAAATCAGCTGGGTGCAGTGACACACACCTGTAATCCCTTGAGAGGCTGAGGAAGGAGGATCATGAGTTCAAAGCCAGCCTCAACAAAAGTGAGGTACTAAGCAACTCAGTGAGATCCTGTCTCTAAATGAAATACAAACTAGGGCTGGGGATGTGGCTCAGTGATCAAGTGCGGAGGAGGAGGAGGGGGAGGAGGAGGAGGAGAAATAAATAAAATGGTTTTTGGCCTCAAGATGCTTTTTTTGCAGGGGAACATCATAACCCAGAAAAGCAGACTAGTGGAAAGAGCAAAGTGACCACCAGAAAGGATGTGATCTGGCTTCTCAGTATGTTCAAGATCATGATTCTGGCTTTACTTAAAAATGCTTTGGGGATTGCCACTGGAAGTTCACCAGTGAGAAGATGGAGCACTTCTACATAGCCCTGGTGGCATGCCCACACAGCCAGACACCCACTCACAGTGCCCGCCCAGCCCAGGTGGCAGCCTCTCCGGGTCAATGAACCAATTAGAAACAATCAAATGTTCATGTCCTGGAGAAGTCCCCTGGGAGGGGAAGGGAGATACAATACAGCCAGATTTGCTGAGCTTGCCGTCCCAAGGGCTTACCATGGGCATTGTTGCTGAACCAGTAGACCTTAAATGCCTCATTAACACTTCCCCTGGCCTCGGCCTCTCTCCTCACAGGAGCGGGCAGACCTGAATTTCCACTCTAATTAGGTAACACACATTGTTAGGGAATCAGAAAGCAAACAGCAGCAGTCCAGTAATTGTGTTTTAATTTTTCCAAGGTGCAATGATTTTTTTTTAACTAGAAAACAAAGGGGCAGAATTGTAATGCAAAATAAATAAATAAGAAAACAAAGGGGCAGTTGTTTATTATTGTTCATTTATTAATGACTATTGTTCATTATTAATGATGCTTACACATAGGTAGATTGAGGGCTACTGCTTTTAACAATTGATTTGAATTATACTGAGCCTGGTCATAAAACTGAACATGGGAAAACACATAAAAGAAATTGGCCCCTGACAACAGAGCACAAGAATTATGTGAGTTTATGAGTGACAGTGTGAAAATGCTTAGGGTGCACAAAACAAAGTCTGGAGAAAATCCCAGGTTGTTGTAAAGTGAAAGCTGCAGGGAAATAAGTGGTAATTAAGCCACAGAGCTTTAGCAGAAAACAATATCCACCAGTATTTAATACTTCATGGAAAGAAACAGCAGTCTAAAGGGGAGGGAGCCCAGAAGACCTGGAGATACCCTGCTATGATTTGGATCTTAAGTGTACCCAGTTTCATGTGTTGAAGGTGTGGGAAATGGTGGCGCCTTTAGAAGGTGGAGCCTAGTGGGAGGTCTTTAGGTCTGGGAGGTGGGGCATGTCCTCCAAGGGGGACTCTGGGATCTGATCCTTTCATCTTCTTCCGTTTTTCATTCCCTGGTTGTGGAATGAACAGTTTTCTCCACTACATACTCCTTGCCATTGCCAGCTGCCACTGGTACGAGAGGCCTAAAATCAAGGGGTCCACCTGGCCATGAATTATGACCTTGAAAACTGGGAGCCAAAATAAAACTTTTCTCTCTACAAGTTGATTATCTTGAGCATTTGGTATAGTGATAGAAAGCTCCCCATTAACTTAGGCTGCAGAAAGCATCAACCTGGAAAAAGTCATCAAATCTGACATTGGTGCTTGTCAAGAAATGAGGAAAGCTAGTAGCCAGGGGCACAGGCCTATAATTCTAGCAAATTGGGAGGCTAAGACAAAAGGACCATGAGGTCAAGGCCAGCCTTAGCAACTTCGTGGGGCCCTAAGTAACTTAGTGAGACCCTGTCTCAAAATAAAAAATAAAAAGGATTGGGGATGTGGCTCAGTGGTAAAGAGCCCCCGGGTTCACAATCACCAACATCAAACAAATAAAAGAGGAAAAATAGTTTTCCCTGCATTGATGCATTAAAAATGAGGTCTGCAAAACAAGTTCTGGTAACTTCAGGGATGATGCTGTGGAACTGAAGACCCTTCCCATGTAGCAGCAATCCTCTTTCAATGAGGTTTTTTTTTTTTTTAATGTCCTACATTGCTGCTTTCAATGGCTTCAGGCTTCCATGATTTAAAATTCTCCACAAAAGAAACCATAGTAGAACTCATTTAAAAATATTTAAAAACATCAATCCCACATGTTTGCTTAGCTCCCTGGAAGAAAGGGCATGCAGATTGTAAAGTGGAACATATTAGCTGTGTTTCTCCATGGGCAAACTGCATGTCCTTCTCTTATTGGACAGGTATTACTAGTCCCATTTTACAGATGGGGAAATGGAGCCTCAATACACAGTTACATGGTCAATCAGCATCCAAACAAGAATACAAATGCAGGGCTCTCTGCCTCCAACATCCACATTGCTCTATTTAAACCTCGAGCCTCCCTCACCCAAGCTTTGGTAAACAACAACAATGAAGAATGGTTAGGAACTCCAGATTTTCTTAAGTCTTAATGCACACTTATGCAGAGTTACAGGCAGGACAGGTTTCACACATCTAAATGTTTTTAAGCTTAAGATAAGAAGA